GATCTTGATCGCCCACTCCTTCCCGGTGGAGGTTTCTATAGCGTGCTTAACCTTGGAAAAATTTCCAGCACCCAGAGTCTTTCCGAGCTCATAACGACCCACTTTCTTACTTCCACCCATGCTTTATTCGTTGGCGTGATTGATATTCTTTGACAGGCACTATTCTCCCCTCCTCCACAAAAAAAAAAATCTGTAAAATTCACTGTAATAGTATCGTTCAGTTAAACCTTAACAAGTGAATACAGGGATACTAGAGCTATGGTAAATATAAATATATCTATTTATATCTAACCTTTGAATCTGGGCTGCTCCTTGAACCGTACGTGATGAAGTAAACTTACCCACGTGTCAGTAAGAATGACTTCAGCGTTCGCTACCGGGTTTACTACGTTTTTCTGATACTAAAAGCAATTAACTAGATCTATTTAAACAATCCACTCTGTTTCTGAGATCTTAATGGATCTTATGACCGTCAGAATGTGCTCTCAACGAAGAGAAGCTCCCTTTAACTTTAGGCTCGGGAATTCGAAAGCTCTATTTTTTTTTTTATGTTGCTATATAGGGTACGGTAAGAAAAAATCTGAAGGAAAAACCTTCAAGACAAAAAATATATATATCGTGAGAGGGCTTTTGATGTATCGAAACCTTCAGTTATATGCAAAGGGCTAAAGCATAAATATATAGATTGAAACTGGATAGAGTCACACACATACCAATAAAAGCATAAAAAAAAAAAGAACGCATTAAATAAATTCATATATATATAGAGATATATATGTCCGTGTGTGTACTTAGGTCTTTTTAGACCCTAATTGTTATCAAAAAAAAGACAAGTAGTGACTAATTATTTTTTAAAAAAAGCAGTGTAGCTAGAAAAAAAACATTTAAAATACATATGCAATGCATTTTTAAACTAACTGCTATTTGGGTCACGAGATGGACGCATGCAATATGTGTGTGGGGAAAGGAAATGGTATAAAAAGAAAACCCTCGCCCAACAGCTGGCATATATTATAATGTGCTCAAGTATAACAAGCATATCTTAGCTAAGAGAAAGCGAACATCAAGCCAATAATAGCAAGCTAGCGGTGTAAAGAAGGGTTAGGATTCATTTATTCATAAGGAAAGGACGCAACCTGAGATGCCATTTTCTGCTTATATATAAGACGCCTATTTAGATACCAGGTCACAAAATTCGTATATATGAAACTGTGCGATGTGGTGGTCGGTCCGAGCAGGATACCCTTCGCCTTGGATTGTCTTTTTCTTCTTTGTTCTTTGTTCTTTAGCCCCTCCCGCAGCATTGTGTGGATCCGGGGCGCTCACATCACGACGCAGCACTTCCCCTCCGCGCGCCGGACGGGCGAGGTCGATCCCGTCTTCCCCGCCGCCGACCGCTTCGCGAGCCCCGCCGCGGCGGACTCGCCATCGTGAAAAAATACCGTCGGGGTGGCCGCCGCCGCCTGCTGGAGCTCCTCGCTCGAGAGGGGCTTCAGGGCGGGAAGGGGGAAGGAAGAAAGCGGGGAGGGAGGGGGAAGCGGGGGGGGGACCTCCCCCAGGGCGGCGTTCTCGCCCGCCTCCGCCAGGGAGGCCTGCCAGCCCGGCAGTTGCTCCACCTCGAGCTGGGACCAGTGCAGGATGGGGTCGTCGGACAAGGGCGAGATGGTGATGTTGGTGAGGTCGCCGAAGGTGAGGTCGGGGAACTCGTCGGTCGGGGAGCCGAGGCCCGCGTTGGAGGTCGCCCGCAGGCGCTGCG